TGCTAGACTATAAGTCAAGATGTATAACTAACTACTTTCTCTACTGAGGAAGAGAGTGTAATTGATTTACTAACTGTTGCAGTCCGGTGCCAAACATCTCTTGTGTGAAAGTATTTCAGACGGCTTCATACCTGTGGTATCCCTACTCTGCAAGAGCCGACACAATTTGGATTCAGCTGACTCTGCAAATTTTCCCAACAAATAGGTATGTCTTAAGTGTTTCGTATTTGTTATTTGTTGGAGCATTTGAAGTAAACTCTTTAACAACCATCACGATATCCTCATTTAAATTTACCACAATCCAGTTGAATATCTCAACATCGTCTCGAATATTGTTTAAGCGAAAGACAGATTCCAATTGTGCCAACCATGTATTTGGATAGGTTTTGTCGAAGTTAGTTGTGTGGTGTCTGCTTGAGCATTCATTGTCTGTTCTACATTCAACGCCATCTTTTTGTGCACTAGTCTGGAACGTAGTTTTTATGAGTAGATTTACATAGAACGTACTTATTTGAATTATTTTTTATTTATTTTTTCCAACTACTTTGAATATTATGCGTTTTTTTTATTACGGAAATATCCAACACGCCGTTTTTATGTTAAATACTAAAACAAATGTCACTTTATTATTTTTTAAGAATAATAATAGAATATAATATAAGAATATAATTTTTACAAAAATGGTAACCAAATATGTGAAAGGGTTGTCAAATTGTTAATGCTGTTGCCACCGTAATAAATATACATGAATTTATAAATTTATTTAATTTTTCAATAAATTTGAAAAGTTTCAAGTAAAATAGAAAATATTTTAAATAAATTATGATCTGTTGTATTTCTTAAAGCAAACAATGCTCTTTAGTTACTTTTTTTTCTGAATGCATGTAACAGATTAGATTTTTATAGTAATAGTAGTAGTTTTATTTTTTTTAATTCATTTTAAAGTTATTATATTACATCGAAATTATATAATAACTATAATATATTTAATTGTAATAAATATACATAAAGCTTACAGCTATGGCATTTTAGCCGTCTGTCGGAAGTTTAGATTAATCTAATAGCTAATTAACTAATAACTAATTAATCTAATTTTTATAAATATTAAATAGATATTCTTACTTATGAAATCAATACAACATAAATATTAAATTAAGTTACTATAACAAAAATAATAGATTTTATATAAGTTAATTTAAAAATCTTTATTAATAATATTTTGCCTATATTTAAATGTAGTTTTAATAAACGCCGTTAACAATCTCCAGTTGGGGCCATTCAGTAACCGTATGGTTTCATTGACATCGAGCGCGTATTTTCCGAAGTACAGCAATCTATGTTCTATAAAAATTGGGCATTCGCCTACTAAGTGTATAACATCGCCTTTCAATTTAAGGTTGCATATCGTACACAGCATGTCTAGACTTTCGTGCAGCACGTAGCACAATCGTAGGAGCTCGCCACGGGTTTTGAAGATTGTCCTAATTGTTTCTATGTCATATTGCTCGTGAAAGTAATTATTGACACCTAGATCATAATTCAACTTACTATATGCATCTCTCGATATACTGTTTCTTGAAAGTAATTATTGACACCTAGATCATAATTCAACTTACTATATGCATCTCTCGATATACTGTTTCTTACCGTTTCTACAAAATTTCTACGTTCTTCAATACTTAGTTTCGTTATTATATTTTTTTGCCACATTTTCCAGTTTTAATTAATACTCAAATCATTAGTTATATTTAACTCGGATGCCAGATTTAACCATTTTTCAAAAAATAATTTTTTTTCATTTATTAGGTACTGCGCTAATGTTTTTTGAATCCTATTGCTTGGCAAATTCCTAACACGATTTATGTAATCAAAATGCAGTTTTAATATTTGGGTATATAGCGTCGGTAGACCAGTTTCTAAATGCACCATATAATTTGGGGTATTTTTCGGCAAACGAAACGTTCTCTTTATATAAAATGTCTGCAATTTTTCTACTGCGTCATATTTATCAACACCCCAGACTTGCGATGCATAATTTAGAACTGACTTAACTGTGGCTTCAAAAACTTTGTATTTTACAGACAGTGACACTTTCGGATTTCCTAAGACATTTTTCCAGGTACAATTAATAGCCAATTCAGCTTCCTTTAATTGATCATCGTTAAGGTACCATTTTTCATCATTTCTTAATCTTCTAGCATGTTTCTTAAATATCATCACTTTTGATTTGTCTGTATTTATAGATAGTCCCCATAAGTTGCAATATCTATTTAATTCATCTATCATATTTTGTAACATTATTGGAGAATCTGCAAACAACACAATATCATCAGCATATAATAGTACTTTTAGCCACATGTTGGCAATCGTAACACCACCAAACAGAAATTTACTTAAATCATCAACGAACAGTGCAAACAATATAGGACTTAAGACACAACCTTGCCTCACTCCGGTACAAGTTTGGAACCATCTCGCAGTACATCTTTCGTCCCATACTGTTGACTCATTGTTCCAGTATAGACTTTGCAGTATTTTCAAAATTTTTGTTGAAAGACCCAGCTGGCTAAGTTTGTAAAATAGTACGTTTTTTTGTATTGTATCGAAAGCAGCTTTAAGATCTATGTAAAAAACATATAACTTCTTGCTTTTTGCAATAAACTCTTGCGCTACACTAGTGATGACGAAAATATTATCTACCGTGGAGTAACCTTTTCGAAATCCAGATTGAAATTCGCTTAATATGTTGTTTTGATCAACCCAATTTTTAATTCTATTATACAAGAGTGTTGTAAATACTTTAGCTGATGTATTAAGAAATGCTATTCTTCTATAATTTTACATTATTTGGGTCACCTTTTTTAAATAGGGGAAATGTTATGCCTTTTTTGTAACTATCAGGTGGGACTGCATTTTCAAATATATAATTGTATGATTCAGCCATACGCTCTATAAATTGTGGCGTGGCATATTTTAAAAACTCAGCTGGAATTCTGTTTTCACCTGTGGCTTTGTTATATTTTAAATTCTGGAGCACTGCATAGACTTCTTCAATCTTTATTGGAGCATCTAAAACTTCATTTATTACATACGGCAGGGCATAACTGAAAGAATTGCTTACTATATTTCTATTTAATTGGTTTTTAAAATGTGCCGCCAAAGCTTCGGCGTCCACTTTAATTCCTTTTATGTGATCTGCACGATTTATTTTTTTAACTCTACTCCAAAATGATTTACTATCAGTTGCTTGGGATATCGACATTGCCATTTCATTAAAATATGACTTCCTTTTCTCATCACACAGCTTTTTGTATTCTCTGTTCACATTTTTGTATTTCTCTAAATCAGCTATATCACCACCTTTTTTTACTGTTTGTAGCCATTTAAATGATTTCTTCCTTGCAGTTTCACATTCAAAGTCATACCATTTTTGTTTCCTATTTATACTCGCCGAATTACCCTGAAACGATTTAGCTGGTTGTTTTACACACTTTTGAAGAATGTCATCTCCTTCCTTCGACGCAAATGTACTACCTTCGCATGCATTATGGGCTTCTTCAAGCTTGTCTTGGTACATATCTTTATATTTATCTTTCCATATCAGTTTCGGTAGCAACTGCATTTTATTTTTATTTGAATTAGAGGCATCTAGATTTGCCATAATTTCCAGTGGCTGATGATCCGAGTATATCATGTCACGTATTTGAAATTCTTCAGTTATTATTAACCATATTCCCTTTAACCATGCGGCCATTTAACACGGTGACACCAAAGGAATTGCAAATTTCTAGTAATTGTTTGCCATATCTATCTACAATTGTATCCATTGCTACTCTGTGGCGCAATACTTCAGCCCACTGCATATTTGGGCTGAATTCCAGACATTGTTCTTCGCCTATTCGTGCATTGAAGTCACCTATTATCATGACATTTTCGTTCTGAGCTTCCACTAATATTTCACATAAGTTATTGAGATCATTTAGCCAGTTATTGCAATTTAGGTAAACTGGGATTATATATAACTTTTGATTATTAGTGGTTATCTCGATTATTGTTGAGTTCATAATGTGCTTGTACACCACAGTACCGCAAAATTGCAATTGCTTTCGTACACCATACAATTTTCCTCCATTGGCTCGACCTCTATTTGTTGTTCTTGTTGCAGGCACCCAATGAAGATTGTATTTTATAAAAGTGTTTTCAGTATAATCTATCTTACTTACTAAAAATGTTTCAAATAAAACAAATATATCGAATTTTTTAATATACTTCATAAATTCTATAAACTTATACTTATTTGCTAAACCAGCTACATTATACGATAATATTTTAAATTTATATGCTAATTTAGTGTCTGACCTGGCGGCATTTGCATTTTTTTGAGCTCCACAGTATTTAATTTTTTGTTTGACATCTTTAACGATTTCCTTTTTTACAAACAGTTTTTTGGCTGATTTATTTTTTTAAAAAGCTTGTTGTTCTCGAGCACTTCTTCCACTTCCATCTCACCATACAATTGCTTTAATTGCTCAACAGCGTCACCACCTTTGCACTTTAGTTTCTTATTTTTATCAAAGTGCATCCATTTTCCTGATATATTTATACTGTCATTTTTAACATAAATTTTGTGAGTCTTTCTGATGGCTTCAAGATCTCTTTTCAGCTGTAATAAAGCTGATTTATTTTCCTGTCTAGTCAAGCTCAAGTCCTTTTCAATATAAATCGGAGTGCCATGCAGTTTTTACCATTTGTTAAGACATCTTTTGCCATTTCAGATGTTTCCAATTCTGCAATTACACTCACTTTATTTTTCTTTTTAAATATTACTTTTGTGTCTCGAACTTTAATACTTGTTATAGCCATTTTATCTCGGAAAATTGCCTCCACATCACTTTTTTTGCCTTATCTTTTAGTAAATCTTTCAATAGTACATTACGACTCTTACTTTGTTCGACAAGTCTTTCAATCTCCCTCCTGTCCTCATTTCTATCATTTCTTAATTATTCTAATTCCAGTTTTAGCCTTTGATTCTCGTTCTCCAATTTTTCCATTTTCACAGACACGTTGCCTATCTGTTCTTTAAGTTCGCCTATGTCACTCTTTGATGCTAGCGTAGCTATTTGGGAATCAAAGTTGTTACTCAAGCCTGCAATATTCGATTCGAATTTATCCGTCATTTGCTGAATAGCCAGCATAACATCAACGAGCGATAAGTCTGGCGAAAGCTCAGATCGCATACGTTTTTCTTGCCTCTGTGCTTGGCTATTCGGTGTGCACAGGACCGATTTACTAGTGGCGATCTACATGTAACCAGTGTGAAATGGTTATCTGAAATAAAAATTGGTTAATTTTTATTAAATATATTAAATGTAAACAACTTACCCAAAACTCATTCCCGCATTAACGCAAGTGCACCACATGAATCAATCTAAAAATACATAAAAATATATTCACAAGAAATATAAAATATATTTAAATAAATAAGTAATACAAATACCTTATTTATTTATTATTTATATTTTTTTAATATTTTAATATTTATTTTCTTTTAATAAATAAATATACCATACATATTAAAGGTAAACACGTTTCAAACAAAACAAATTCACAACACAAGAAATGTCAAAATAGCTTTTGTGCAAACTACTTTATGCAAAAATTGATGCGCGCGCATATTATTAAAAGGACTACGGCTCAAAACAGCAACGGTGACAAAAATGCAAACCAACTGTAGTTAAAGCATTTGCACTACATTACAGTTTCGCAAATGCGTGTATAAGACGACGCATTTGTTCAGAAAAGACACTTTGTGATCGACACTCAAAGCCATCAGGAGCACGCTGAGGCACTAAGGAATAAACACTCGAAGTCATCAGAAGTTGACTGGTATAATCAACTTTTAAAGACAGTACACGGATATTAGTGGAGCTAAGTATAATAGAAAAACTTAATCATTTTTCTTTTATATATCGAATTTTATCCTTCCCACTGCAACATATAGAAGCGCGAACACGTTTATAACTTGCTATTAAATCCTTATGTAAGCGTGAACACGTTTATATCCTTTCCACTGCACCGTATATAAGCCTGAACACGTTAATAGTTATCTTGCTAATACAACCTTATATAAACATGAACGCGTTTCATCCTTTTCCACTGCAACGTAGATAACCGTGAACACGTTTACATCTTCCTACTAAACCTTATATAGGCTTGGACATGTTTATACATCACTATTAGGCTTTTTCGGTGGCTCACAAATATGACAAAAAACAGCAAGTTACTGGCCTATACTGGCCGAAATGTACACAAAACAACAACACTATTTTCTTTACCTCGGCCAGTACAGGTATACTGGCCAAACACATGAGCCAGTAAGCAAAAAAAGTGTTATCAACGCATTCAGCAAACTATTGTGAGCCTTGTAAGGACGGAAATTTTTACACCACATTTGCGCCTACATAAATATAAACCGAAATTCATTAATATTTATTTTCACTAATACTAAATTCACTAATATTTATTTTTATTTGAAATATTAAAAATCAAATAATTTTACAAAATTATTATTAAAATCCTAATTTTATTAATAAGTTATATATATTTATCTAAATAAATTTTATTAAATTTAAAACAAAAGAAAAATAAACGCGCACATGTAACAAAGTAAATCCAACAAACATTTACAAACAACGAGAAATGTCAAAGCATGAAAGTTTTTGTTGAACAAAACACAAAGTATACGAGAACAGCACAAAAAGCACAAAAAAGTAACACAAATAGTACAAAATATATAGCAAAAAGATCAAAGCTCCAGCATATTCTGTATAAAAAACGCGCATTTGATACGATCGAGGACTTGGATTTTCAATTTGAAAGTATGCTGGCTTATTCAGTCTACTGGTTCATTAAACCAAAACCTGGCTCAGTCAGCCAAAGTAGTATAGACCTGGTCTATATTTGTTTTCCCTTGACCTTGTTCATTCAGCCAAATTATTATATTTCTTAGCCCAGGGCATCCGTCGTTTACGAAAGAAGAAGAGAAACCCAGGCCGCCACATGGTCCTGCCAGGAGTCTTCTCAAACATAAACCAAAGCCAACCGCAGAAGCATCGTTATCTTATACAACAGTGGTCTCGTGTACAATTCATGTATTCAGGAAACATAAGTTCACCTCTATGATATAATCACGCGCTGGAATAATAATTTCTTCGATGGTTTTCCACCCACTGCCACATCCACCCCCTATACAAAATTTTCATATTAAATCGTTTATTATCGTTAAAAAAACCTTTTACGCTTATTGACCTATATATATATATATGACGTACATAGCAACACAACTTCATGCAAAAAATGGGCGTGATCCGCCTATTAGTTCCTAAGTTATTTGCAGTTTTATGCAATTTTAGCGAAATTACGATTTCGCAAAAATTGAGCCAACTTTAAACCCTTATAGCTTTTTTACTATTTATTCAAAAATAATCATTTTTGATTTTTTTTAAAGCTTTGAATATTGTTATTCATTATGTGCAAAAAAAATTCAATTTTAATTATCAATAAAATTTTATTAGCGAAATTGCACAAAAAGTCAATAATTTTTTCATGGTCATTTTCATTATTTCCTACTGTTGGGGCCTCAAGAGTTTTTGAAACCACTAACGACAACAAAACTAGAAAACAAAACGAAGTTTTTAAAGAAAGACCGACTCGTTTGAACTTTTACAAGAGACTAATTTTATTTTTAATTTCATAGTATTTTATAATAAAAAAGGGTTGCCAACTGCAACCAAAAAATAAGTAAACAAAATATTCCAAATTAATATTAAATTTTAATAGAAAAATATAAAGCCAATCACGAACATTCTCCCCCCATTGGAACGGTCGCGTTCCAAGAGAGATCATTTAAAGGCAGGATACAGAGCTTCGTGACAGTGCGTCTAAAAACACCATGTTTTGTGCGCACTACCGCTACACGAATGACACCATCAGGACCAGATATGACTTCAATAACTCTACCGAGCGGCCAGCGAAATGGTGGGAGATTGTCATCCTTTAAAAGAACTATTGCACCAAGTGATATATTTGGAGTCGGCCTTCGCCATTTTGATCGCTCTTGTAGCTGTGTAAGATATTCGGTACTCCAGCGTTTCCAAAAAATTTGTTGAATATATGAAATGCGCTGCCAGCGATCAAGCCGGTTAACATTCACGACCGTAGTGTCAGGCTCAATGATTGATGTTAACGGGGCACCGATTAGAAAGTGAGCAGGTGTGAGAACATCAAGATCTTCCGGACATTCTGAAAGCGGGCAGAGCGGACGAGAGTTGATAATAGCAGCAATTTGGCAAACCAAAGTGCGTAGTTCATCGAAGTCTAAAACTGCTAAGCCAACCGCTCGACAAAAGTGATATTTGGCTGTTTTTACGGCAGCTTCCCAGAGACCGCCGAAATGTGGCGATCCAGGAGGTATGAATTTCCATTCGATGCTGTCACTGAGACATTGATGGTGAAGCAGCTCATGATGTTTTTGAGTAAAGAAAAGTCTCCTGAGCTCAGCAAGCTGATTTTTGGCACCGCAAAAATTTGTAGCATTATCTGACTAAATGATTTTTGGTTTGCCACGAGTTAAAATAAAACGCTGTAATGCGGCTAGAAATGCTGATGTTGTTAAATCCTTGACCAATTCAAGATGGACAGCTTTGGTCGCGAAACAAATGAATAAACAAACATAGCATTTGATTGGAGACTTATTGCGAATTTCGGACTTGTAATAAAAAGGACCACAAAAGTCTGTGCCAGTAATGATGAAAGCACGATTAGCATTAACACGATCTTTTGGTAATTGTCCCATGATATGCCTTGCAGTTATTGGTTTCGCTCGGAAACATATAATACATTGGTTGATGACCTTGGATACTAGCTTTCTACCTCCTATTGGCCAATATTGGAGACGCATTGAAGCAAGCAATGATTGTGGACCTGCATGCAGCATTTTGCGATGAAAATGATTTATGATTGAAACAGTGAGCGGATGATGCTTAGGTAGTATAATTGGATGTTGTGCATTAAAGTCTAGGTTAGAGTTTTTTAATCGTCCACCAACACGAAGTAGACCAAGATCATCTAAAAATGGACTTAAGGAGAATAAGTTACTTGAGCAACTAATTGATTTTTTGCATTCCAAATTATAATATTCATTCCATAAATTCGCCTTTTGTACTGTTCGAATTAATATGAATGTACCTTGCTGTATGTTATTAGCTGTTAAAATAGTAGATCGCTCCTTGCTGATGAATTTGTGGACATACCCAAATATACGTTGTATTTTGTAAAAATTGTTGATAAATTTCCAATTAATCGAAATGTCATTTGTTTTTACAGTTGAAATAAGAACTGTCTTGCGTTTTTCAGGCAAATCATACAGCAGGGGATAATTCATAGGCCAATTGTTTCGATCTCCAAGCAAGAATGGAGGTCCACATTGCCAAAGTGATGAAGTTAAAAGTTCGTCTGGAGTCGCTCCCTTAGAAAGGATGTCTGCGGGATTTAAATCAGTGGGAATATGATGCCATGTCATCCATTTAGTCAAATGTTGAATTTTGCTCACTCGATTGGCCACGAATACATTGAAGGTAGACGGTTCAGATCGGATCCAGGATAACACTATAGATGAGTCAGACCAACAGTGAATTTCAGCGTTAAATATATTGAGACTTGAAATTTGGTGAATTAGTTGAGCTAATAAAGCTGCGGCACATAATTCTAATTTTGGAACTGTCAATGTTTTTAATGGTGCTATTCGAGACTTTGAACAAAGCAAATTGGCAGACGCAGAACTTCCGTGGTTCGAAACAACATAGATGCAAACGCCATATGCGTTCAAACTAGCATCACAAAAGGCATGTAATTCGAGTGATGCATGAGAGATTGAAACACAACGAGGAAATTCTAGTCTTTGAATTATATGGAGACGATTGTAGAGGTCAGTCCATGCAGTGTGGAGTTGATTCGGAAGGCTCTCGTCCCAGTCGAGTGTGTGTTTCCATAAACACTGTAAAAATATTTTTGCCTTTGATATCAAGCGACCAACAAGACCAAGCGGGTCATAAAGCCGGGCAATAACGGAAAGCACAGAGCGCTTTGTAGTACGCCTTGAGTGTTGATGTGGTGCAAAGGTAAATAAAAATTTATCATTGGTTGGATCCCACAGCAGACCAAGAGTTTTTGTTAATTCGCTGCCGTCATCGAAATTAAGCAATGGCTCTCTATCGTCTTCTGGAATATCATCAAGTGCAGATAATTGATTTGAACACCATTTCCTTAGTTTGAAATTCCCTTTATTGAGCAATGCAGTGGTTTGTCTCACAATGTCTTGAACATCATCAATGCAATTGCCACCGGAGATTAAGGCATCAACATAAAAATCTCGAAGAGTAATTTTGGAACCAATAGGAAAGTTTAATGATTCATCAACTGCTAATTGCTGCATAGCACGGACTGCCAGGAATGCTGCTGGCTTTGTGCCATAAGTCACCGTATCAAGCTTAAATACTTTCAATGGTTCTTGCATGTCATTTCTCCGAAGTATACACTGTAAAAAGTTATCCGGGCGTGTGACTCGAACACCACGATACATTTTGCAAATATCCGCAGTTACTGCAATAGGAAAAGATCGAAAACGAATGAGTAAGTCAATGAGATTTGGTTGAATTGTAGGACCCGACATTAATATATCATTTAAAGAGTATCCCGTGGAAGTGGCTGCTGACCCATCAAATACAACACGTAGTTTTGTGGATGAACTTGATTCTTTGATGACGCAATGATGTGGCAAAAAATACGTGGGACTAGTTAATTCTTCATCAGTTAATGGTGACATGTGATTAAGCTGCAGATACTCTTTTATAAATGCACTATATTGTGTCTTTAGATCAGTGTTTCGTTGTAGTTTGCGTTCCAGATTATAAAAACGACGTGCAGCTTGTTGATATGAGTCACCAAGTAGTTGAATATCTAATTTCAATGGTAAGCGAACTGAGTACTCACCAGTTACCAATCGAGAAAAGTGTGCTTGGAAATGGGCTTGACAATCTAAATGCTCTTTCGTAATTTTGATTACAGGATCAAAACAACTTTCTAGCTCCCAAAATTTTCTTACTTGTAGATCCAAGGAGTGATACCGATCATCCGGAGTTGATGACTTTTTAAATGTGGCTAGTGACGATGATATTGAAGAATGCTGGTTACCTCCGGAAACTACCCAACCAAAAAGCGTTTTTTGTAATACTGGTAATTGAGGCGCTAAACGGATTTGACCTATACATAGTAGATCGAAAAAGAGAACTGCACCAATAAGAATATCAATACGTTGTGATTTATAGAATGCTGGATCAGCTAGTTGAAGATTTTTTGGAATATTCCAATCAGTTGTATTAACGTTTGTGCTGGGATGTTGATTAATAATTTTAGAAGTAATCACTGCGGTGATGCTACTGGTGTAATTGCCAAAACGTAATTTTATGGATAACTCAGTAGTGTTGTCAGCGACAAAATCTCCATATGTAATACCTGATATTACTGTGGCACATTTTGTTGTTTTAAGTTGAAGTGTGTTGGCAAGTGATTTTGTAATAAAGTGTAATTGCGATGCTGAATCCAGAAGAGCACGGCATGGTATATAAGAGCCAACACGATTTCTTATTAATATGATTGCAGTTGCAAGAAGCACACATTCACTTGAAGGATAATTTTGGGTTAGTTGCGACGCGTTTGTTGAAACTAAGTAAGCCTGCACTTTAGATTTAGTATTTGACGTCGGATTAACTATTGGTACATCATTAGATGAAGAAAAGGTACTGTCATTAATACGATCATTTAAATGCAAGAGCGTGTGGTGAGGTCTTGAGCAAATACGACAAAACGAAGACTTGCATTGTTTTAATTGATGTCCCTTTTTTAGACAATTTAAACAAAGGCTAAGTTTTCTGGCTTCAGTTAGACGAAGTTTTGGAGAAAGATTTGTAAATTGACAACAGGAGTAAACGAAATGATCATCACTTTCACAAAATGTACATCCCTTTGAGTTTGTTGCTATGAACACTTTTCTGGCAATTGGATGGAGATTGATTTGCTTAGTTTTGTTATGTGCTGAAAATTTTGTGGCGTAATCAACATGCTCCAAAGTTTTACATCTTTTATCAAGAAAATCTGCCATTTGATCCCACGTAGGTATTGCATCAATTGAAGCCTTTTCTTCCCATTTTGCTTGAGATGCAGGATCTAGCCTTTGCGAAACAAGATGTACTATGAGACCATCAGCAATTTGTTCCTTGCTGCCCAGCGTGCTCAATGCATGTAGGTGTGAATTCATTTTATCACTAAGGCGTCGCAGATCAACAACGGCGTTTGGTTCAACACGTCGCAACCCAAATATTTCCTTTATGTGTGCCTGAAAGATTAATCTTTTGTTATCAAATCTTTTAGATAATAATAAAAGTGACTTAGCATAGTTAGCGTCACTGACTTCAAGCGACTTTATTGCATCTAGCGCTGAGCCCTTCAAACAAGATCTTAAGTGCTGAAGCTTTTCGAGATTGCTGAGTTCAATGCTTTCATCAACAATTGTTCCAAACATTGAAATGAAACGCGGCCAGTCCTTGATGTCACCACTGAAGGTCGGGAGTTGAAGTTCTGGCAGCCTTGAACGCGAGTATTTAACATTAATAGAAGGAGTCTCATCGTTCGATAGAAATCTACTAGTTGAATTTTTGATATTCGTTTGACGATGGGACAGCTCTATCATGATCGCGGATTTAATGTCAATATATTTCTGTTCAAAGTTATCTCGCATCTCACTTTCCAGTTCATGGAAGTCTTCCTGTTCGAGACTAGATTAAGCTGCGTCAAACTTAGTGTTGAGTTGTTGAAGAGAGTCGATGTAGAGTTGTAGTTGCACTTCATGGCAATTACTCAAAAATTCAGCAGACAACTTTTTTTCCAAATCCTTTAGTTGTGTTCCTAGACGTGAACATTTTAATTTTAAAAATGTTGATGCCTCTATCTTATCTCCTTCCATTATTAATGTTCGTTAACAGATGCAAGTAATTGAGATCAACTACAAAAAATATAGATAATTCGCAGTCGAACCGTTTGAATGATTCGCACAACTGTTGTTTTTTTTGTTTTGTAAAAAATTGGTTGATGCGGCGCTGCCGACGCAAATGAAGTACCGCAAACCAAATGTTCAAATAAACCCGCACAAAAATTCGCAACCGAATCGCGTGAGTTTTTTTTCTTTTTTATTTTCAAAATGATGCAACCGAAACAAGTAAAAAATTGGTTGATGCGGCGCTGCCGACGCAGCTGTAATGCCGAAAACCAAAACTGTAATGTTCAAATAAACGCACACAAAAATTCGCAACCGAATCGTGCAATTCTGTTTTGTAAAAAATTGGTTGATGCGGCGCTGCCGACACAAATGAAGTACCGCAAACCAACTGTTCAAATAAACCCGCACAAAAATTCGCAACCGAATCGCGAGAGTTTTTTTCTTTTTTGCAAAATGATGCAACCGAAACAAGTAAAAAATTGGTTGATGCGGCGCTGCCGACGCAGCTGTAATACCGCAAACCAAAACTGTAATGTTCAAATAAACGACAACAAAAATTCGCAACCGAATCGTGCAATTTTCAATACAATAAATGTTTTGAAAATAAAAGAAAAACACTAAAGTGATCAACGTGATCACGTCGGGGTCACCAAAATGTTGGGGCCTCAAGAGTTTTTGAAACCACTAACGACAACAAAACTAGAAAACAAAACGAAGTTTTTAAAGAAAGACCGACTCGTTTGAACTTTTACAAGAGACTAATTTTATTTTTAATTTCATAGTATCTTATAATAAAAAAGGGTTGCCAACTGCAACCAAAAAATAAGTAAACAAAATATTCCAAATTAATATTAAATTTTAATAGAAAAATATAAAGCCAATCACGAACACCTACTAATAGCTAAATAGTTAAACTTTACAACAAGAAAAAAATTGGCCTGCGCACTCTATGTTTTACACCTATTTCAGGCCTCAGAAACCAGCGAAAAATTACGAAAAATATGACCTTTAATAAACCCCATTTATTTCAACAACAAATTCAAAAAGTAATAACAAAAAGACATTTATAATTTTATAAATATTTAATTTATTTATATTTTAAATTTTAACTGAATCGGTTAAAAAACAACGAAGTTATAACACATTATGTTCAGACGCATTTGAACATTTCGGGCTGAGGATACCCGACCAAAATTTATATTTTTCAACGAATATTGAAATCATATGTCAAAAATAATATGTAAATAAAAATTCAAACGAAATTCAAATATTTCATAAATTTGAAAATCGGAAAAAAAGAAAAATTTCAGTATTTTATTTTGAAATTTTCAACATTTTTACTATTTATTTTAATTTTGTATATAATTTAATTTTCAATTTATGTTTAATTTAATTTATAAACATAATGTAACTTGCTTGCTTTATGCTGTTTTTGCTATGAACAATGATCTTCAGTACAACAATATATAATGTTCCTTACCACTGGTGGGGGAAACAATAGGTATATAGATTTTATTTAAAATCAAGATAAAATGCAACCATAAATAATTTTATAGTGTAAGATATACAATAATTTAATTCGCACAAATTGCTTACTAAACAATAGGTGCGAGCGATTAACTTATGACCTAATTCTTAATTTTTTGTTGGTTCGTCAACATTATGCCGGCTCTGGGTTGGTATTAAGAACTGGGCCCTGTTGCACCAACACTTTTCACTTTGCACTTTGCAAATTTTTATGAGTTTTTGAGCATTTTTCTCTCAGTGAGAACATAAATCATTAATTTGAGAATTGAGTTATGCCATTGAGTAAAAATATTATAAAGTCACAATCACGGTTGCCACTTATGGTACTTTAGTACCAAAATTGGTACTTTTTTTTTTTTTTTTCGTTTGGTACTCATGTTCAAAAAATGGTACATTTTTGACGACCCAACTTTATTGTGGATATTTCCAATTAATTTTTTTTATAAAATGCAACTTTGCACTATTTAATATTTTGTTCATTTATAACACATATGAAAAACACAGAACGAGAAAACAAAAACGTCCAAAAAAATTTTGGACCTTTTTTTACAGAAATGGTACCTTTTTAAACCAATTTTGGTACAGAAAAAAAATTCCAAGTGGCAACCGTGGTCACAATGCCATAGAAATTAATTTTTGTTCTAGCAAAGAGTATATATACATAGAGTGTGCATCACTCAAAAAATCTTAAAAATGAAGTAAGGGCAATTTCACAAAAATCGGTCGCAGAAATCGGGGAAATAGTATTTGAGTTATTTTTGTGTCACATGGACTCGTTGTTGGTATTTTTATGTAAAAAGGTGCATTTAACAATTGAGAAATCAAGAACAGCAACTAATGAAAATATCAAAGCAATAAATGTCTGCAAAAATACCAAAAAACTTATTTTTTGTTCACAATCCATTTTTTTTCTTCATTATAGAATTTTCCGAAATTTTTATTTTCAAGTTTAACTGAAACACATTTGTATAGAAGTAAACAGCACAGTATATTTTGTAAATTATTGTATGTTATTCGCAATTTTATGAAATTTTGGCGAAATTTGAACCCTTATAATTTTTTATCTACTAATTGAAAAATGATCATTTTTTTATATTTTTTAGAGTTTAGGATATTATTATTTTTAAGTAAAAATATGTTTAAATTTTATTAACAGTAAAATTTTAAAAGTGACAATTCGCAAAATTCATACATATTTTTATGGATTTTTTTACTTCTATCTTCGACATCAAAAAAAATATATCCAAGTTTTTTTATAAAATTGTTCCTACTAATTTTATAACTTACCACACCCTTGTACTATTAATCGGTGGGCGCCTATTAAATCACTTCAACCTGACTTCAAAAATAGTGCTTTTCATTTCGTGCAAAATAAATGTCAAAATTTAAAAGAAATCGATAAAGAAAATGCTGTAATGGTTTTCGATGAAATAGTTATCAAACCAGGATTAAAATATAATGAGAAGCTAGACATAATTGATGGAGTTGAGGACAATGGATTTTTCAGATCTCCAACTATAGCAAAACATATTTGTGTGTTTATGGTTAAAGGTCTGACCACAAACTGGTCATTTATTTTTAATTATTTTTATTCCAGCAATGGATTATCAGGTGAATGCCTTTCAAACATTATATTTGAAAATTTAAATAATTTAAATGAAATGGGTATCAAAATTCGTGCACTAATATGTGATCAAGGGTTTTCAAATAGAAAATGTTATTCCATCTTTGGTGCTGGAATCCACAATCCATACTTTTTTCATAACAATTTAAAAGTTTATTGCTTCTTTGGTTTCCCTCACTTGATAAAATCCTTGCGAAATAGTTTTAGTAAGTGTGATTTTAATACTCCTGATGGTCTTGCAAGTTTTGCTGTTGTGCGTGAATTGTGGGAACATGAAGAAATTCAACTACCAAGATGTGCCCAAAATTAATAAGACAACATATATTTCCTAACTCTTTTGAAAAAACGAGAGCAAAATTTGCAACACAAGTATTTAGCAAAACTGTTGTAGCTGCTATTAAAACCGTTGTAGATACATCTAGTTTTAAAAAAAGCACTATAGAAGTTGCATTGGCAACTGCACATTTCATACAAAAAATTGATCGAATATTTGATTGTGTGAATAGCTGTTCTTTATATGCTAACAATTCTTTTAGATCAGCAATCCAATTGGAAAATGAAAGTTTTAATTTTATTAAATACTTCCTAAATTATATTAAACAGGTGTCTTTAGCAGATACATCAAAGAAAGTGTTTTTTTTTAGAAGGACTTTGTTATTAGCAGATGACATTTTAAAGTCCTCAACTGAAATTTATTTTTTAATGACAAAGCGTTTAAATCAAGATAGTCTTGAAAATATTTTTGCAATTCTTCGTCAAAAAGGAGGCAATAACTCAAACCCCACAGCAAGTGAATTAAATAATATTTTAGCGAAAGTTATGAATTGTAAAATTATTCAGTTAAGTTATGTAGCCAATGGTGAAATAAGTGAGGATAATGATAACAAGTGCCTTGATGATGTGCTTTCTTTTTCTTTGATAGAACTCGATGAAAATAACTCTAGGGTGTCTAGTAACTGTGCAGTAGAAGCCTACTCTGATCTAGAGTGCAATGACATCGAAAATTGCATTATATCAGATGCATTTTCCAATTCAAAGAATATAAATATTGATTTATTGTCTTTAAGATACACAATAGGGTACGTAGCTAAAAAAATACTTTCAAAACTAAATTGTGAAGCTTGCAATATAAACTTAAAAAAAAGGGATGAAATTTTGACTGCTCCAAGTGAGCTTTTCATCTACTATAAAAATTATAATTCTCTTTCAAATTTCGGTAACCTGTTTGCGCCATCAGAAAGTTTTTTCAATGTTTCTTGTAAACATGTCGAGGTTTTTAAAAATGTATTAAAAAATAAACCAGATGCAATTAGCATTAAAAGTTTAATAATAGAAATGTGCAAAAAAAAACCCCTCAGTGGTTTAATGGGCCCTGTAATGAACATTTAATCCAGCTTCTTGATTTTTTAATTCTGCTTTTACTTTGTAAGCATTGCTTGTGGGCCTTAGAGAAGTCTAAAATCAATAAACATTTCTAAAATGAATATGAAATTAAGTTAGCACTTAATATAAGATCAATTAATACAACTCTTATTAACAATAA